GTTTCTTAGTTCCTGTTAGTACACGTGCTGCTGCATTCTGAATTAGCTGGAGAGTTTTTAAGGACTTACTAGAGCTACCTGATAATAGAGAGTTACAGTAATCCAGCCTTGAGGTAACAAAAGCGTGGACCAATTTTTCTGCATCTTTTCGGGTCAGGATAGGCCTAATTTTCGCAATATTACGCAGATGAAAAAATGCAGTCCGTGAGGTTTGCTTTAAATGAGAATTAAAAGACAAATCTTGATCAAATATTACTCCGAGGTTTCTTACGGTAGTGCTAGAGGCCAGAGCAATGCCATCTGGAGAAACTATGTCATCAGATAAAGAGTCTCTGAGTTGTTTGGGGCCAAGAACAATAACTTCAGTTTTGTCTGAATTTTAGGTTCTCAGTCCTATAAGTTTTGACGGTTTTGAATCTTACTGTATCATATATGCGCTCTCCTTTCTTAAACCTAGACAACGTGTTAGTGAACATATTTTTAAACACAATTTGCTTCATGTTTGGGCCACTATTCTCAGGCTTCAGATATCTTATCATGCAGGGTGTGAACCATGTATGGGTTTTAACGTTGCTTAAGCAACACTGAGGTTTTTCCTGTGGGATAGCTCCAGCTCCTCCCCTCTGTCTTCACTGTAATGCGATGAGAACGGAGCTCTATCTGCTCTGTCAGTGCGGAACAACACGCGGTCGATGCGCATCTCCGGTTTTCAGCAGACGTAAAGAGGTGGGAGCGCTGGAGCGTATTTATAGCAACCAAGTGTGTTGGTGCAGGTATTCCTGATGGTAGGGGTGAATACATCACATAACCACACTTGACGTGCTTCACTCAGCATCGGACAGAAGGAGAACAGAGCAGGTATGCAATTTGTTGATAGAAATAGATGTGACAACTTTTCATTTGTTCATGATGTGTGAAACCCTATTATGTTGTGGTGTTTGAACTATGATGTCACTTGGACATAAAGAGGAGTAGCCTACTTTTAGATAACTTTCCAATTGCTCCACTTGTGCAGTTTGGGAATGTGTGCTGGAGAATGATGAGAGATGAAGTGATGCCATTGTCATTAATATGTATCATCTTTAAATGAAAACCAACTGCTGCTGTTTTTAAAGGACCCCGCCTAAATTTAGAATTATGTGTGTTATTTCAATCGATATTTATGAACGTGAGCTCCTCTTTCTCAGAGCAGGGTTGGAAATGAACTTTTTTGCCCAGCTGCCACAGTGGCTGACTGGCTGGTGGAATTCAAAGTATCTCCATACTGCTCATCCGTAGTGATCCAAGTGTGCTGCAGCGGCGACACAAAAAGTTGTTTTGAAAAACGTCATATGAACTCTGTTTTTAGCCTCACTGTAGCCTGTAGCTCTAACTGCATCTCTGTGCTCAGCACTCACGTGTGCACACTCAAGGTGATAGGTGATACACGGTCTCTGAAGAGCAGCAGTCTCGTCAGTACTGATGTCCAGATTCTCAAGTGCAGGCATCGCCAATTTCCAGTCTGAGCAGCAAAGACTTTCCTCATCCGTTGGCATTGCTTTGCATTTCAAACAACTACACCACCAGGTTTCCAGTGCTCAACTCCGGTATTCTGTGGCTGGCTGAGGCTCATGAGCTGGGGCGGCTGCTTCGTCCAGTAGCCTGAGTTCTGTCCCTATAATCGGGCTCAAACAAATACGGTTCAACAAAGAAATGCTGTTCCTCCTCAGTTTCAAAGTCTTCAGACATGTTGGGCTGTCCTTTGCTAAAAGACCGTAGTGCAAATTATCTTTTAGCCACTGTGGTTACTGTTGTCTCCCCTGCGGTGCACATGTCACGTGATGTAAACACGGGTAAGCAAAGCTCATGCTTTCGCTGGTCTCGCATAAGCGCGCACACGTGAGCGCAGAGCACAGAGAAGCAGTCAGAGCTACAGGCTACAGTGAGGCTAAAAACAGAGTTCATATGACATTTTTCGAAACAACTTTTTGTGTCACCGCTGCAGCACACTTGGATCACTATGGATGAGCAGTATGGAGATACTTTGTGGATTCAATTTTATGTTCTTGGACGTTAGTCTGGGGCACCGTCAGCCATTAGGTGTGCTAGCCGTTCCCCCCGCTGATCTACGCAAGGGATGTGAGAACTCTAAAACTTCACCAGGGCCTCCATCGGCATATGGGCGAGTAGATAATGGCTGAATTTTCATTTTTGGGTGCACTATCCCTTTAATTCCAGGAACTGTTTAGTTGTTAAGCCATTTCTCATAAGTATAGACATTCATTGTATATCCACTTTTCTACATGTGGCTGCTGCTGGCTTGAGTCTTGACTCTCTAGTTATCAGTAACTTGAAATGCTGAGATAAATGTTTAAAGTCCAAAAAAAAGTAATTTATTATGAACAGGTCAATAAAACAGGTTTCAATATTCAAAATACCTTGTAAACAAACAAAATATTCAGTATTACACATTTTCTTTAGTTACTTTTCTTTCAAACATTTTTTAAAGGTATGATCTCATTGCCGGTTAAAAAAAAAACAAACAAAAAAAAAAAAGGTTTGCTCCTGCAGCCAGCCAGAGATGAAGGATCCATTCCACACACCTGAGCCAGAGAAAAAAGAGGGAGAGAGATCAAGTTTCTGTCTTTGATGAATGAAGCCTTATTGTTTTGCTGCTATTAAACAATGAGAGACATGTTTTCTCCCTTTACTTAATAGCATAAATATTCATACTACTGCGCACGGGGAGACAGAGACCTGCTCTGCTCCAGACACACTCACCACCTGACTGTTGTTGGTGTGTACATGTTAATGTGATTTCAGTCATTTTGTTTTAAATCTGGACATGTGCAGGTGGACTCAGCCAGTGCTAAGAAAGGTCCTATGCCTGCCTGTTGGAGAGATAGAGAGAAGATTAAAGCGTCAAATTGCGGTAAAAGATGCTGTATAAAAGACAGGCTACAACTTTTTTTCCTTGTCCCCCCCTGGAATTATTCTCTAAAATTTTACTGTTTATTGTCCCCCCCAACTATGAAATGGGATTTTAGCCCCTGCACCAACCGCTAAGCAACATACGGGGTTATTTGGGCCGTATTTTTCCAAGTAAGGGCTGGCTTGACTGCAGTTAATTTCTAAACCTGTCTTAAAGCCAGAAACCAGAGAAGGAAGTCTCAAACATGTTGTGGTGACTATCATAAACCAAAAATTTAATTAGTCACCTGCGGTGGCTCAGGAATGTTCTTAACACGTACTCCAGTCCATTAAATTAAACCGTCCAGAAGAAGTTTCTCTTTTGGGTGACGTTCCCATTTATTGCAAAAAATATAAATCCAAAAGAAAGGGGTTACATACCAAATTATGTTGCTGGGTTGAAACAAAATGCTGGCATACGGTAAGAATCATGTGCTTCCACCACTGCTCTGCTCTGACTGCTGATAATCAACAAACCCTTGTAACACCTGTGAATGTGCAGCTGCCAATTACCTGTGTGATTAACTAAAAATAGCATCAGAGTGAGACCTCCCTCCTCTAGTGGTAAAAAAAAAAAAAAAAACTAAACACATACACATAAACAATTAAACTATGAAATGGTTCCTACACATGTGATGTCATAGGGTATAAAGTCTAGAGCTGCTTCATAGACAGTGAAAGCGAGAATGATTTTGTGAATCTTCAGAATGTTTGTTATCTTTTTTATACTCAAATGAGCTTCATTCTATTGTAGTGTTCTCAGTTGTGAAACAGAAATTGTGCCCATAAACTCAGAACATTCCCAGAATGCTCTCAGTGTCATCTAGGGCAGTGGTTTCCTACTGGTCCAGCCTCAGGGTCCAGAATTCTCATCAGTCATTTGTTCATGGTCCACACAGTTTAATATATTCAGTGTCATACTTGTCTCTGTCAAGTAGCTGTCCGTTAGTCACTCACTCCACAGCAGGAAACAGCACTTCAAAATATAAGCTTTGTGCTGGAAATTCACTATACTTCAATATAAAGTGTTTTTGTTTTTACAAAACAGATGTTAGCGAGTCACTTGCAGTCCTTTCAGAACGGAGCCAGTGACCTACTTTTGGACTGGGATGCACCAGTTGGGAACCACTGATCTAGAACATCTTTCACCATTCATTGTCTATGGAGCAGCTCCAGACTTTATACCCTATGACATAATGAATTTTAGCTTTAGCTCTCTAGTTTTTGGATTTGGGAGAGAGTTGTTGACTTTTACTTATATTTTTCGACTGTGTTAGAGAATGAGCATAACGTGAATTTGGAAAATGGGCATAGCTCCCCTTTAAACTGCTTTACCAGCAACAGAAAACGTGGATAAAGGTGGGTTAAGGTGACCACATGTCCTTTTATTTTGCTTTAGCTATCATGGACTTAAATGACATCAAGCCTGATGAACTGGTGGCACACAGAGGCTTCAAGTTGATCAATGGCACTCATGATCCAGATGATGTGGACCAGATTTACAACCTGGAGATCAGAGACTCGGATGTGTTTGTCGTCACTTACCCAAAGTCAGGTGAGAGGACAGTAAAGATGGAAGGGGGCACCAGCACAGGCTCCTGCTGTGCCCAGTGTCCTGCAGTGGGACTGAGTGTACTTAAGGTCAGTGTGATTCTTGGAAGTCTCAGCTTAGGGAAAGGTACAGGGCTGATTAGTATGTACACATGAATGTCCTGCTCTTTTGTGTGTTGCAATTTGATTTCAGCAGAGAGCAGGGTATCAAATGATCTGCCAGACAAGTGTGCATTGTGAAAACACTCAAAGGGAAAGCAGGACAGACAAAGCTCCACACAGAACAGGAGAGGTGTACTCATACACATGGCTGATCTAATTGTTGTCATTGTACACACAAAGTGTGGGAATTAGGCCTGTCTGCTCTGTTTGACAGGGACCATCTGGATGCAGCAGATCATGCTGCTCATTGAAACAAAGGGAGATCTGACAGCCATCAGTAAGCTCAGCAACTACTCCAATGCTGATCTCATCCCCTGGATCGAGGTGACTGGCAACAGAGAGACGTTTATCCTGGCCCCATCACCCCGGCTGAGGGTCACACATCTGCAGTTCCACTTCATGCCTCCTGCTCTCAGCCAGAAAAAGGGCAAGGTCAGCTTGAAGCAGCTGTATTTCACCTACACAATGAAAATGACTGAAACTACTCTGGGTCCCCCTGTTCAGTATTTTAAGGAGGATACAAACATGTAAAACATATAGTTCATAACACACTATAATGTCATTGTAACCAGTGAGTGTACTACTACATTTTCCCAACTTTTGAAACATTCTATAAACAATTAATAATCTAATCTTAGAATAAATTACAACCTATTAACATCAACGCATCTATAAACAAAACATCTTATTCCTGTTTTTATGCTATCATGTTCACCATGGTGCTCTTCCTAGGCTGGCAATATCCTGTCATGGATACTGGTGCTTAGTGGAGTGGAGAATTTGTGTGGTGCATTTAAGCAGGTTTTAATTCATCCACACTGATCCACACTGCCCCACTTCCACTAGTAGGCCACAAGAAGAAAAAAGGTTGCTGTGTCTCGCCATGTCTTTACAGACTACATCATACGTAGAAGGGTATCAATGATCCTCACATCTGGGTCATGTCGTACTGTATGTTATCATGTTCAATGTGTTTCCATTTATATAATGACATACAACGTATGTCATTCTGCATCCTGAGACTACCTAAAAGCAGCAGGGATACGGTGCTGGCCGCCGGTTCTTTTTTTTCCTGCTCTGGTGATCAGCACATCTAGGTGATGTTAGTATATGTTGGATGTGTTTCCATTCAAATCTCCTAGAACTGCAGAGTAAAGGGCTGCCAAAGTCCCAAATCTTGCGGGAGCAGGCGGTTTGAACTTTGCTGTGGGCGGGAACAGGCGGCTAAAAAAACACACTGTGGGATTGGGATGTAGCCTATAGCGACAGGATGGAGTTAACAAATGATGTGGAAAAGAAGCTCAAACAAGGTCTGAAGGCGCACTGAGCCCTCTACTTCCCAGCGCTCTCAAAGCTGGCGCGTTTCATCTTCAGTATCACGGCATCCAGTGCGCCTTCAGAGTGGGCCTTTAGTATCTGTGGGCGCATCTTGGAAGAGAGACGCACGGGATTGGGACCGCAGTCGGTCAGCAACATTCTCTTCCTCCACAGCAATATAATGGCCAAGAGATTCATTTGTTAAATTCATTCGTTTCATTCGTTAACTTTGTTTATTTTATGTTATTTGTTAGTGTTAATTGAACCACTCACAGCCTACTCTCATTGCTATTTGTTAATTACATAAAGAGGCGTGATGATGCCGGTGTTATTGAGCATAGGCTTTATCTTTATCTCATTAATGTTTCTTATTCAGGTCTCTCTCAGAAAAGAGACCTTAACCTCAATCACTGCGTGATTATATAAAGGTAGAAAAATAAATAAAATACAGAGGAGGAGAATAGAATATGAAACAGCCTTTATTTCATTAAAAACTAAATAAAAACAACAAAATAGGAGCACTATTCCTGACCAGTGCGTCAAAAGACAAGCAGACCAGAGAAACAAAACAAACAACCCCATGAATCTCTTTATTAATAGCCTATAAAATCACTTGTTTTCTCCTGCATGTTTTCTCTTGTGTCCTGCATCTCTATTATTGTGCGGGCATAAATTCTCAGAGTTTTGCGGGAGCGGGCAGGAGTGGACATACACATTGCGGGTGCGGGCGGGAGTGTAACACACACGTTGCGGTTGCGGGCGGTAATGGTCAGAAATTCAGAGGGAGCTGGCAGGAGCGGGATGAAGAAAACAGTCCCGCGCAGGGCTCTAATGCAGAGCAACACCAGCAGCAGCTCCAATGTTTTAATTTGTGCTTGTCATAGTAACTATCATTCGTTGTGCTAACCTCAGCATTTGTTTATTATGTGTCATATCATAGATCCACAAATATTGATCCAATATCTCATAATTATCAGACTTTGATCCTCTGCCTGACCCTCCCTGTGTTCATGGCTAGTCATTTATTTAAAAAGGTCTAGGCTATTTAATTGTTCTTTATCATTTTTATTTTTATAATTCTAATACAAAGTGGAAACCACTGTATGTGAATGCATGAATGCGTCAGACCTGCGCAGCAACTTGCCTAACACTATATATATATATAGCAGCTCGTCCTTTGAGGCCATCTTCTTGATGTATTCCTAGATTTTGGATGTTTCATCCTGGATTGTGGCTGTGATGCTCATTAGTCCTCGGCCTCCCTCTTTCCCCTTACTGTACAGCTTCAGGGTGCTGGACTTGGGGTGGAACCCTCCATGCATGGTGAGGAGCTTTCTTGTCTTGATATTTGTGGTTTCCATCTCCTCCTTTGGCCAGCTTATGATCCCAGCTGGGTATTTGATGACTGGCAGTGCTGTAGGGGAAATAGCTTTTTGAGAATATTTGCACTCGTAATAAAGTTCGGGGCACCACCCTCCTAATGAGAGAAGCGACTAATCAAATTAATAGCTCAGTAAACCAATTATTAATTTGTCAGCACGCTTATCAATAATGAATCAATCTCAATATCTGGGTTATGAATTCTCTATACAGTGATCTTAATTCCTACTCAAAAGAAGACAGGGACTTGGCGATAAATGAAAATTTATTTAAGCAAAATGGGTAACAACTGAATAAATGAATGAGGATAATATGAAATAACACAACATCAACAGTACGTATAAATGGATTAAAACAACAAGTAACACTCGTGTGGGTTATTTAATTTGGCGATAGTGAGAGAGTAGGCCTATGTGAAGATAAATCGGGAACACAGGGATGCCCAAAAAATTTTTCTAAGGAATCCTAAATTAAGATTAAGGTAATTGAATCTCCTATTCGACATCAGCTCTTACCACTGCTCAGCGGGTCACCTGTGAGGGGAGTTCGTTGCCTCCCTTCTTAGCAACGAATCATGCAGACGTTTCTCCTGGGGCCCCAAACTTTCACTTTACAACTCCCGGACTTTCCAGCAGAATGAAATCAGCTGGCGTACTGTCTAGGGGGGCGCAGTTGAGCCTGTGAAGTGTTGTGGGCGCCCCCAGCGTCGGTTTCCTTACGCTGCAGAAAGCCTTTGGGTTGGCCCGAAAAACCACTGTAGCAAATGGCTGGCAGCCGCTGGGTCTGATGAATCTTTGGTTGAAGAGGCAGGTCGAAAAGGGCACTTGTCTACTTTGTTATAATTACTTGTTTTTAATAATGGTGAAAACAATATCCTTGGCCGTTCAATATTGTTATCAAAGTTATTATTATTAAAAATGTTGAAAACACTGAGATAAAAGAAAACTGGATAAGCAAAACTTAAAAGTTTAAAATAATGTTGATATGAGAGTATAAAAGTGTAACTAAAACGTAAATACGAAAGAGGCTAAGATACGAAAAAGAAGAAACAAAAAGAAGAAAAAACAAGAAGAGAGAAGTGTCAAAAAAAGAGCAAAGAGTACAAGAGAACAAAAGAGAGAGCAGAGAGAGACATGCAGAGGGAGAGACTGGAATGCTGTGGCCCATAGTAGAGGATATTTTGTGGGTTATGTTTGTCCTGAATGTTTGAATGGGGGTGTAAAGCCAGGTGGCATGAAAGTAGTCATCAGTGGTGTTTGATGTGAAGTGTGTACAAATGTCGCTGTAAGTCCCATTTTGTGTAGTTTATATTGTGTCAGGTGAACTCTGTTTAGAACGTCGGATTGAATACGTTGCAGTTTGGGGTTAGGGGGTCATTGAGAAAATGCTGAAAATGACTTTCAGTTTTTATACTACAAGTACACTTGCAAGTTCTCTTTAAGTGAACTTAAAATCATACTTATAAATCACTATTTATATACATTTTTCCACCTTTAAGTACAATACTATGTTACTATCTAGGTATTATATTTTATACTTGAAATCTACCTTTACAGTACCTTTAACTGTACTTTAAGTAGACTTGAAGTTAACTCAAATGCACACAATCAGTGGACTACACGTATAAAAGTTGTCTGCTGTCCAGGCCCTAATAGCTTTAAGGTATTCAGTAGGTCTTTATAACCTAAAAGTCTCACTAGGTTTGAAAGATAAGTGGAGTTAGATGTCATCTGCATATAAATGATATGCAATGTTATATCTGTTTATGATCTATTCAAAGGGCAACAAATATAAAGAGAAAAATCTAGGCCCCAGAACTGAGCCCTACAGGACTCCACAGGACAGTGGAGAGGAAACAGACATGAAGTCTTGAAAAAAAAAAGATGGAGAAACTCCTGTCAGTGAGATTGAATTAAAACCAGTCTAATTCTAAGCCTGACATGCCAAGACCACGTAACCTCTTAATAAGTATATGATGGTCTACTGTACCAAATAAATAACTAAGGTCAAGAAGTACTAACATAGAACAGTCACCTGCATCAGAGGCCATCAAAATATCATTTGAAACTCTCAGAAGTGCAGTCAGTCCCCAATAAACAGTTGATACCCAGGCTGTTCCTCTTGTAGGTCATCTACGTGGCAAGAAATCCCAAAGATGTCCTTGTGTCTTACTTCTACTTCCATAAGCTTGCAAACATGTTGGAAACTCCAAAGGATTTCAATGACTTCTTTGAGAAATTCATGAGAGGAGACGGTAAGCTCTCTGTTACTCACAAAACAATGTTTGCATTTTCTCAGCTGTGTAGTTCCTGATGAAAGTCTGCCGTGTGACACTAACATTGTGCGTTATTCATTGCAGTGTTTGGGTGCAGCTGGTTTGAGCATATTAAGGCTTGGTACTCACACAAGGATGATATGAACATGCTGTTCATCACTTATGAAGAGATGATTCAAGTAGGAGCTAAAATCATTATGTTCATGTCCATAAGCTGTCATGTCCTATGCTAAGAAGTATCTGTAGTCTGTAAAAATGGTTTTGAAAATAGATCTTTAGTTCTTACTTCTGTGTCTTTTGTCCAGGACCTGCAGTCAGCAGTGGAGAGGATCTCCTTGTTCTTGGGTAAAGAGCTGACTGATGAGCAGCTGACCAATGTGGTGAAACACAGCACCTTCAACAACATGAGGAAGATCCCTCAGGCCAACTATGAGCAGGTGCCAGGTAACCTGTTCAACCACCATCAGGGAAGATTCATGAGGAAAGGTAAGAGCATTTACCGCTTTAGTTGATACAGAAACTCAACACTGTGGCTCACTTTGCTCAGCCTCGAGTTGATAATAAATAAAATTTCCCACAGACTGTGAGATTTTAGCAATCTTAACAAGTTTAGTGCAGCTACACTGTGTGACATGGATGTAATAAATCTGGGTATAATATCAAGTTTGATGTACGCAGACTGTACAATGACAGCAGGCTACGACGTACGATTCATTAGCTGCTGTGCTAGAGACCTGTTTGACTGTGTGTAACAGCAGTCTTTTAATGGTCATTTACACACTGTCCATAACAATAACTATGTCAGGTAACAAACTGTGTCAGGCTTGGGTCAGGTTTGGACTTAAAAATCACAAAATCTGTCGGGTTCGGGCTGAACTCCATTATAATTGTCTCAGACTCAGGTTGGGTTTGGTCGCTCTAGTGTGCTCACCTATGTTTCTGTGTGTGTGTGTGCATCGGGGTGGAACTCTGCCGTGCACAATACAGGGAGCAGAAAAGAATTGTAAATGAGTGACCATGTAGAGACAGAAATTACATGTCATCGTGTAAATAACACAAATAACATAAGGCTATTTAATTTGTTTAATAAAAGGACATGGTATAGACCTGGGGCCATATTCACAAACATTCTGAGAATACTCTCAGAAAGCTCCTCACTTAGCCTAAAAAGTTTTAGTGAGGAGTCTTAGCTTAGGAGTGATTTAGAAAAGTTCTAAGAGCAACTCTGAGCAAGGAAGGGACAGAAACTTTTATCTCAATGAGGGGGTGTGGTTGACCCTGTTGCTAGGTGTGATGCTTTCTTTTAACAGATGTGATTGGTTGTCATAGACACGCTCTTCTGTGAGCCTGCAAGGAAATGAACTGCATCACAATATGAGATTGACAGTGTTGTCATTGTCAGTGTGATCACTCTGCTGATTGAAGGTTGAGACAGACAAAAGTCATCACTGCTGCATTTTCCAGTTTTTCAAATATCTATAATAATATTATTATAATTTTATTTCTGGTGTTATAGCGTTATTTTGTTAGGTATGAAATGTGTACATATCCCAAATGAGATCGACCACAAACATTATCCCTGCACAATCTCATCTGTAGCATTTCAATTACCCATTTTTCTGTTAAGAGACCATTTCTCTGACCTCTTTGTGTTTCTACCATTTTCTCCTCTTAAGAAACTCTTAAGCCTCTTAAAAGTCCTCCTCCCTGCTCCTAACATTTTTTCACCTTTGGAGCTCTCTTAAGGTCTAAGACGGTTTGTGAATAACTTTTATCTTTACAAGGACCTAGTCTTAACTTTAATCAGAAATTCTAAGAAAACATCACAATTCTAAGAATTTTCTTAGAATTTCGTGACTAGGAGCAACTCTTAGCGCTAGGAAGCTTTATGAATACGGCCCCTGTTCTATAGGAGAGGTAACCTTAAATGACCTTGTTGTGTTTAAGTTTTTAAGTTTAAGTTTATTTCTTTTATTAATCCCCCTGAGGGGAAATTCAATGTTTTCACTCTTGCTTGTCAATTACACACAGGTCCGAAAGACACACACACACAAACAGGACCTATACATACATGCACAAATTGGAGAGATGTCAGAGTGAGGGGGCTGCCCTTGGTGAGGCGCCCCGAGCGGTTGGGGGGTTCGGTGCCTTGCTCAAGGGCACCTCAGCAGTGCCCAGGAGGTGAACTGGCACCTCTCCAGCCACCAGTCCACGCTCCATATTTTGATCTGGACGGGGACTCGAACAGGCGACCCTCCGGTTCCCAACCCAAGTCCCTATGGACTGAGCTACTGCCGCCCCCAGTGAGCTGGTGCCGCCCCCGGTGATCTGGTGCTATATAGAAAATAAAATTAAACAAAATTAACTTGACCTTCAAGGGGGGGCAGGGGGTGCCTTTGGAGGGGCGGGGCACCCCCCTAATATAATGGAGGGGGAAACACTGATGTGCATCGATGCTGCACGGGTTATTACTTCTCATACTGCGAAGCACAACATAGAGGGTCACATTATTAAATAACCTGAACTTTTGTAGGCACTATATACTGTGGTGTGTCTGTGCTATCTGCTAGGTTCGTCACCTGGCAGCTGCAACTCTGCCTTATTTCCTTCTATGCTTTGTCTTTTTTTATGCAATCATGTTTAGAGTTGGAGGACACATCATACAGGCAAGGCTTCTGCTGCCACAACTCCACAAGGTCTGAAATCCTACACATTTCTTTTAGCACATCTTGCCTCCATGGAAAGCTGATATCCATCTGTTTGTGGTTTAGAGCCAGTGCGTCATTTCATTCCGCATTTCTATTGGTTGGTTAGTAGATATAGGTCACACAGTGAGATGGTCATCCCAAATTTCTGATACTTTCGATTTTATGCCAGGCTGCCTTTCTTCGCAAGACCGTAACAATAGTCATCCTTGAATCTCTCTCACTGTGCTACATAGAACCATTGTTACAGAGCCACAACCAAAGATATTGCGATGTTTCTTTAATGTTGGTTTTCTTTCGTCTGGGACAGCCCAAAATCGCACATTGTGTGCCAGGCCTTAAACCAAAAAGTATTTAAAGTATTAAAAGTATTAACTCAAATAATTACAGAACTTTAACAATAATAACACAGTAAAGCGCCATCTTTTTACAAAATAAAGTACAGTATATAGCAAAGACAGATGACTGGGAAATTATCCAAAAGGGTATAAGGGCAGACTGCACAGAGCGATCTGCTACCGTAGATTCATTCATTCATTCATTCATTCATTCATTCATTCATCTTCTAACCACTTCATCCTCTTGAAGGTCGCGGGGGGGCTGGAGCCTATCCCAGCTGACATCGGGCGAGAGGCAGGGTACACCCTGGACAGGTCGCCAGACTATCGCAGGGCTGACACATAGAGACAAACAACCATTCACGCTCACATTCACACCTACGGACAATTTAGAGTTATCAATTAACCTAATCCCCAATCTGCATGTCTTTGGACTGTGGGAGGAAGCCGGAGTGCCCAGAGAGAACCCACGTTGACACGGGGAGAACATGCAAACTCCGCACAGAAAGGGCTCCCACGCCCGGGATCGAACCGGCAACCCTCTTGCTGTGAGGCGACAGTGCTAACCACCACCATGCCGCCCACCGTAGATTCAATTCAATTAAATTTTATTCAGGGTACCTGCGGGGTCTTAAAAACTTGAAAAAGTCTTAAATTTGATAACCATAAATTAAGGCCTTGAAAAGGTCTTAAATTTTGTTTACAAGTCTTAAATTTCATTCTCAAAGGTCTTAATTTTTCCCTTTCTTATCTGCATGATACAGCTCAACAACATAACTGTATACTAAGTAAACTAACAAAAAAAAATCTTGGAATGTTGCGTTGTAAAATGATTTTTTTTCTGCGACTTTATCGATCTCCGACATGAGGTGGCATTCCAATGCACTGTTTCAACTAGAAGGTCGGAAAATCCTGATTTCCGAGTTTTCTAGAACGCAGCATTACGTTGGAGCGTGCACAGTAAGCCGCTGACCCACCGAGGTCGTCGCTCGCTCAGCAGCTTTGGGATGGGCAAGTGCAGATTTAATCCATTGTGGCTAAGTGACTCAAAATATGACTGGGTTCAGGCTGTACCAGGGAATGAGTGGGAGGCTCAGTGCAGCCTGTGCCGTAAAAAATTCAAGCTCGGCACAATGGGACATATGGCCTTGGAGTCGCACATGAAGAGTGCTAAACATTTAGCATGCTCAGCAGCTACACGGAGGCAGGCACCCATATCCCAGTTCTGCGCGGCAAACCCGACGCTAACCTCAACAGTCACCTCGGCTGCCAGCAGCACCGAGCCCACACAGCCAGGTAACATACGAGCTCTTTGTGGCTCGACGCCAACGCTTAAGGCAGAGGTGACGTGGACACTAAAGACGATATCGGACCACCACCCGTATACGTCAAATGAAAATATAAGCGGGCTCTTCAAAGTCATGTTCCCCGACTCAGAGATCGCGGCTACATTCACATGTGGGAGCAACAAGACTGCCTATATTACTAAGTTTGGTCTGGCCCCTTTCATCACCAAACAACTGACCGAGCAGGTCAATAAGGCATCTGGATTTGTGGTCATGCTTGACGAAAGTCTAAACAAAAGTACAAAAACTAAACAGCTGGACATTCATCTGCGCTACTGGGTTGGTGACCGCGTCCACTCAAGATATTTTGGCTCTGAGTTCATGGGCCATGCTATGGCGGTGGACCTGCTAAAACATTTCAAAGTAAGTCCATTTGTAATACTTTTGCACACAGGCGTGCGCACGCACACACTGTATTGTTTATTAAAATAAGTGATTGTTATTTGTCCCTGTGTTATGCTGTTATTCTTAGTTATTCTGACAGATTTTTTTTGCATTATTTCATACATGTATGCCAGAATAGGTGCGAGGTTGGTCTTAAATTTCATTGGTTGTGGTCTTAAAAAGGTCTTAAAAAGTCTTAAATTTGAGTGGAAAAATCCTGGGGGGACCCTGTTATTTATAAAGCCCAATATCACAAATCACAATTTGCCTTAGAGGGCTTTACAGCATACGACATCCCTCTGTCCGTGGACCCTCACAACAGATAAGGAACCCCCCCCCCCCCCAAAAAAAAATCCTTTAAAGGTGAAAAAAATTGGTTGAAACCTCAGAAAGAGCTCCTCAGGAGGGACCCCTTTTTCAGGACGGACAGATAGATAGCAATAGATGTCGTCAGAACAAATCAACATAATAAATTTACAGTGATCCATATGACAAAATGATACATAAAGAGAGACAGAGACAGACAGCGAAATTGAGACCGACAGAGACAGAGTGATGCAGGGCGGACAGTAATGACAATAGCTACAATAAAAATAATTTTAGTAATAATATTATAATAATAATAACAGTAATTGTGGTAGCATATGTTGTAGCTGCGATACGAGGGAACCTGCGAGACAGTGGAGACAAGGGCTCCGGAGAAGAAGCCGAGT